CAAAGCAATCAACTCGATGCATCAAGATTGCTTCAACTTGGAGTGAGCATTTATCACCCTCTTTTGGCCTTTTAGTGTGTCTTTACTTGTTATAGGTGAAGCCAAATAGTTGAAGTCTATATTCCACATGAATCACGTCGGGCTAGTGATGCGTGCTGGATAGAGTGTGAAAATCACAGTGAATAGAGCGAAGTTCATAAGATTCTAATTTTAAGCCATGATTGAGAAACCAAACTTTTAACACTTGGCCTATATTCTGATCTTCTCAATTAAGGCAGATTATACTCAAGCTAGTATGAATGTTGGAATTTGATTTTGTTGCTTTACTTCCCCCTCGGGCAAATGCAGAGAATTACGTGAAAATTATGCATCCGAAAGTGGTGTCGCGAGTGCTATGTTGCGGATGTTTTGAAAAGCGCACTGCTTTTTTGTTCCTTGTAAGGTTATGTAGGGTAAAGAGGTGCTTCTGAATTTGATTCCTATCCCGAAGTTAATGCTTACAAAATGGTGGCAATTATGATGATGACGCTGAAGTAAATTCGAGGCTAATGCTGTTTTGCCTTGTTGTCCTCTCCAAATATTATATTAATTTTGACTGCTCTTTGACACGTTGCCCCAATCATTGTGCCTTGCGGTGCTGACGTTTCAAGTTCAAACATGGGATTTTCGCTGCTCCCCCGAAACACTAGTGAACTGTGGAAGGAGTGGGAGCTGCGGTTGCTCATACTCCTCAGCTCTTTTCTCCAATTGACCCTTGCGACTCAAGGCAGCAAGAGGAAATCCATCTCTAGTAAGCGGATCCAATTCCTGGTATGGACGTTGTACCTATTGTCTGAGTCCGTTGCAACCGTAACGCTTGGCATCCTCTTGAACCACCTAGCCAACATCCAGGAAACTAAGGGGACATTTGTTCCACAGAGCCAGATCACAGCGTTCTGGGTGTCGTTTCTTCTCTTCCACTTGGGCGGGCCCGACACGATCACCGCATTTGCCTGATCCTCAACTCTGGCGACCTGGCTCACCGGGGAGCGGAACCCCCGCCCGCTGACCGGTCAGCGGGACCACCGTTTCGGGGTGCTGCCCCCGAACCCCCGCATTCCGTGCGCAAGGGTCACATGTCATCGGATTATACTTCGGTTTCCCTAAGCTCACGTGGGCGTGCTCGGTATGAGAAACAAGGGTCTCCGAAAATATTTGCCAACTCCAACAGTTTTTTTACTCTCAGTCGTCGCTATCCGTTCTGGTACTGGTACCGGTAGCGGTGGTATCTCCGTCGTTAAAGAATCCGGATTCATTATTCTGATCTATCTCTTGTTGTCGGTATTGAGCCTTCGTCCAATCATCGACACAAGCGTGAGCCTCCACTGATTCTGGAAATAATCTTGAACGATGTTCGTGTAAAATATTACCGACACTAAATGCTTGTTCGATCGCAACTGTGGAACAAGGGGTTGCAAAAATTTGTTTTGCAATAAGAGAAAGGATTGGGTATTGGCTTGCGTGCCTCTTCCACCAATCCAAAATTAAAAAACCTGTACTACCTTCGAATTCAGTAAATTCAAAGAAAACAGTTAGATAAATCTCTAATTCAGAAATATTTCCTATTACTCCCTTTTGCTTTTTTTGTCTATGTAATAAAAGTTGGTACCCTCTACTAATTTTACCTGTACTCTCACTTTGTGTCTCGGTAGATTGAGAAGATCTAATATCACCTAAATTATATTTAGTATAAAATTCATTATATAATTATATTACTAAGTTTTTAACCTCACTTAGTATGGTTGTAATATTTACCGTATCATAATATAAACATTGATAATACATATGCAAATAATCACTTAAACCATATAATTTGCAACGCGGATAAAAAACACAAGCAACTAAATAAATAATGAGAATTTCGCTATAATAATGTAGCTACTTCATTTTCATTGTTACTATAGTATTTTATAATTCAACATCATTTTCATATTCCTCAAAAACTCCGACAATATTAATACATTCTACTAAAAATAAATGCGTAGTAGGATAATAAATACCGGATAAAGTATAAGTTGCATCATTAAAAACCTTTAAAATATCTAAATATTTTTTGCAAATATCCCACTCTTACGGGTATAAATTAATCTGAGGTATATTATTAGAAATGAATGCACATAATAAATCTTTATATGCAAAAAATTCACTAAGCAAGTGGAAAGTAGAATTCTAACGAGTTGGAACATCTCTTGGAAATCTTTTTGGCTTTTTGTCATTTGCTTTACAAAATCTACCCTATTCTTTCATTTTTTGGGGATGTTTTCATAAAAATTGAATAGCCGTTTTTATTGGTTCAAGAAAAATATCAAGAGTTTTCAAACCATCTTGTACACATAAATTTAAAACATGACAAGCACATCTAACGTGAAAAAATTTTCTGCCAAAAGCGGGTTTACAAATATTTTCTAAATCGGCAATTGAAGCGGTATTTGCCACGGTATTATCAAAACCAATTGAAAAATTTTTGTTAAGCAAATAATATTCTTCTAAAATTTGCCTAATTATTCTATAGATATTATTTGCCGTATGCTTACCATCGAAAACTCTAAATGCAATAACTCTTTTTTTAATATTCCAATCGTCATCTATCCAATGACATGTTATACCCATGTAAGAATGAATTTGCCAATGATCACTCCAAATATCACTACCTATATGCACACATCCATTAAATTGCATAAAAAAGTTTTGTAAATCTTTTTTTCCATTTTTGTAAATATCTTTAACTACTTGTTTAAGTGAATTTCTAGGAACACGTCTTGCTTTAGAGCACATGCTTTTTGTACAAATTGATTAAAACCAAATCTTTCTCCAAAGTTAAATGACAAATGCTCAACGGAAACAAATTTACCTAATTCTTCCTTATAAGTTTTTTCATTAAAACGAAATAAAGGAGAAGTGTTAGGATTGACGTACCCAGAAATTTGTTGTTGCTTGATATCGATTCCCGCTTGGGTTGGATGTTTGCTTCTAAGATGTTGTTTGAATGTTCCATATCCTTGTCCATCTGTATATTTATATATTTTTCCACAATGTTTACAAATTATATCATACCTTTTTTGACCAATATCAAATCTTTCCGTTTTCGTGAAGTGGTTCCAAATGTCAAATGTAAGTTCCCGCTCCGCCTCCTTTGTTGTAGATATTTCGGCATGAGGATGAAGACTTTCTTGCATCGGGACGTGCTTCACATTGGGAAAAATGTTGATTTCATCATCTTGAAAATCTGCATAATCACGAGGATCAAAAGAATGATGGGATTCCGTCATGATATTCTTACCTTTGCCAGTTGGCACTTGACTTCCACTTGCCATTTTTCGAGTGGATTGAGAGAATTGAGCGGATTGATTGGGAGAATTAAGAGAGAATTGCGCGGATTGAGAAAATTGAGAGAATTTAAGAGAATTTGAGAGAATTTAGAGTATTGAGAAAATTTGAGAGAAGAGAATTTGAAAGAATTTGAGAGAATAAGAGAATTTGAAAGAATTTGAGAGAATTTATAAGAAAAAAATGAGAAGAAAATTTAGAAAAAAAAAAGGCTAAATAACCGTTGCAATTTGCAACGGTTATCTTTTTTATTTTTTTTATTTTTTATTTTATTTTTGCCCTTTGCCAAGGCAGCCTACAAAGGCTGCCCTAGCAACGGGCCAGCAGGCTGTAGGTTTTTTGTTTTTTTTTTTTGAACCGGAACTGGGCCCGTAGGCCACGGGCCGGTTCCGATTCCGAACCACGGGCCTATAGGCCACGGGCAGGTTCCGGTTCCGAACCGCAGGCCCGGTTAACGGGCCGGGCATGGGTTTGACTAGGCTAATTTCGGGCCGAAACCGGCTCGTGGCCATGACTAGGCCCAAGGGGTATTGAGATAAAAGGAAAAATTAAGCAACCCTAGGTAGGTTCCCCTAGATATAGCCGTACAGTCAAGCGCTTGTGGATTCCTTCATGTAGCCACCTGTAGCCACACAGTAAAAGAAGAAGCAGGCGTGGCTAGTGTGTTCTTTCCTTAGACGCCGCACAAAGGAAAATCCAAAACACACACAGGCAGCGTTTCGTGTGGGTGCACGATGAGGAAGCTCTAGACACGTTGATGTTGTGCTGTGAGTTTTTACTTTCATTTGAGTTGTTTTTTTATAAATATTTTGGGTTTGGGTTTAATTTAGTTATGAAAAATACTCGAGTATGTAAGCGATTGTAAACTTTGATTATTGGATACTAGCGAATTATTCGGTGTTGGCTCTCCTTATAGATACAGATATTGATACTCAAAACGAATCACGTAAATTTTGGTATCCTTTATCGTTCCTCATTTATTTCTCTGACATTCTCGCATTGACTTAATTTGCAATATCTGAGTTAGCTTCGGCGTTCGGTTAATATACAACAATTACAATAGCCATGAGCAGAGTATTGGCACGACTCTATTTGAAGAGTTATATGGATGCAAGTGTAAATCTCCTATTTATTTTTGTGTGTAAATCTCCTATTTGCTGGGAGGAGGTTGGCAAGAGGAGATTGACTGGGCCAGAATTGATTAAGATTTTTTTCTAATGTCACACAAGTTGTTAGAGAGGGACTTTGGACCGCACAAAGTCAGATCAAAATCTTGTGCAGATAAGCAGCTACGACCTTTAAAGTTTCAGCTTAGAGATCACATTTTCCAAAAAGTTTCACCAATGAATGGAATCGCTTGGAATCAAAGCAATTAACTCGATGCATTAATATTGCTTCAACTTGGAGTGAGCATTTATCAACCTCTTTTGGCCTTTTAGTGTGTCTTTACTTGTTATGGCAAGCCTACCAGGTGAAGTTTATATTCCATATGAATCGCGTCAGGCTGGTGATACGTGTCGGGCAGAGTGTGAAAATCACAATGAATAAAGTGAAGTTCATGAGATTCTAATTTTAAGCAGTGATTGAGAAACCAAATTTTAACACTTAGCCTATAATCTGATCTTCTCAATTAAAGTAGATTATACTCAAGCTAGTACGAATGCTAGAACCTAATTTTATCGCTTTACTTCCCCCTTGGGCAAATGCAGAGAATTGCATGAAAATTGTGCATCCGAAAGTGGTGTCGCGAGTGTTGTGTTGCGGACGTTTTGAAAAGCGCACTGCTTTTGTGTTACTTGTAATGTTATGCAGGGTAAAGATGTGCTTCCAAATTTGATTCTTATCCCGAAGTTAATGCATATAAAATGGTCGCAGTTCTGACGATGATGCTGAGGTAATCTCGAGGCTTATGTTGTTTTGCCTTGTTTTGTCCTCTTCATATATTATTCAAAATTTGACCGCTCTTTGAGACGGCGCCCTGATCGTTGCGCCTTTTGGTGCTGACATTTCGAGTTCAACCATGGGATTTTCGCTGCTCCTCCGAAACACTCGTGAACTGTGGAAGGAGTGGGAGCTGCGGTTGCTCATCCTCCTCAGCTTGTTTCTCCAGTTGACCCTTGCGACTAAAGGCAACAAGAGGAAATCCATCTCCAGTACGTGGATCCAATTCGTGGTCTGGACGATGTACCTATCGGCCGAGTCTGTCGCAACCGTAACGCTCGGCGTCCTCTCGAACCGCCTGGCCAACATCAAGGAAACGAAGGGGACATTTGATCCACAGAGCCAGATCACAGCGTTCTGGGCATCGTTCCTTCTCCTCCACTTGGGCGGGCCCGACACGATCACTGCGTTTGCCCTGGCGGACAACGAGCTATGGTTGAGGCAGTTGGCGCGGCTTTGCGTCCAGGTAGGACTAGCTTGTTACATTTACTATATGGCCTTGTCAGGGTCTACCCTGTCGTTGATAGCAAAGGGTATGATCCTGGTGGGGTTCATCAAATATGCTGAGAAGACATTGTGTTTGTACTGGGCGAGCAAAGATCATCTTCAAGATTCGATGCGTTCGCCTCCCAATTTTGGTCCCATATACCCCAGGAAAATGGAGCAGTACGTTCTGAAGAAAGAGGAGGGTTACCAGGTCAGGTTCGATGAGGTCATAGAGTTTTCAGCGCCGGAGGGTCTCTCAGTGAGCGGTCAAGCCTCCGATGATGAAAAGACTCTGGTCAAAGCCTATAAATTATTCAAGATGTTCAAGCTTGTCTTCATGAGCCTGATCCTCAACTCTGGCGACCTGGTCGCCAGTAACCGCATTTTCATGGACTTGGACATGGATTCGGTGACGGCTTTTACAATCATGGAGATCGAGCTCGGGTTCATGTACGATGTGCTTTACACCAAGGTACAGTTGCTGAACTGTGCTTGGAGCATCATTCGTTGGGCCATTAGTCTCTCGGTGCCCTGTGCAGTGTTGGTATTATTCTCCTTACGGGATAAGAAAGATTACCCCAAAGTTGACATCTGTATAACTTTCTTGCTTGTAAGCGTGACTATACTTTTAGAGGTTTACTCGCTTCTTCTAGCACTTTCATCCGATTGGGTCGACTGCTGGCGGCTTGAGAAATCAAAGAGATCCACAATTTCGTCTGCCATCATTTTTCTCCGGTTCTTCCCGAAAAAAAGATGGAGGAATTCGGTGGCCCAGTTCAGCCTCTTGAGATTTTCTACCAAGAAAGGAAACAGGATCTTCCGCAAGTGCCCGTGGCAAGCCAGGTTAGTCAAGAAGGTGGAGAAGTACTTTTATATCGGTCAAAAAGAGTTCAGGAACAACGTCAAAGAATGGATCTTCAGTCATATGCGGGAAACGGTCAGAGATCTGGAACCGGCCCGCAGATCGAAGAGCTTGTTGGACAGTATTAAGCTGGAGGCGCGCGAGGTACTGAAGAAGTCAAACTGCATGGAGCTATTCTGGAGCGTGGAAGTGGAGTTTGACCAGAGCATCCTCATCTGGCACATCGCCACTGAGCTCTGTTACTACAAGGACCGCGGCAGTAACGAAATCTTGGAAGACATTTTGAGCTTCAAGATGAGTAAGTTGGTCTCCCGGTACATGCTCTATCTTTTAGTTTTCCATCCTTCCTTGTTGCCAACAGGGATAGGGGTGTTCCAATACGAAGACACTTTGGTCGATGCTCAGAAGTACCTCGAAGACAAGCAAGCGGTGTTGTCAAAGAAGGAAGGCCGCATCTTATCGGTCATCAAGTGGGCGAAGAGATTATTCGAGAAAGAGGCACATCGCCACACTGATGGTTACGGCTGCAACAAAGAGCACAAGTCTCGAGAGTCGCTAGATCTGTGCAAAGTCTGCCATCTTCTGTTCAAAGTGAGTACTCATCGTGACCTCCCCGCGTGGAAGATGCGCGGAGAGAAAAGCATGTCGGTGCTGTTTGACGCATGCTATCTCGCGTCCCAGTTGACTGAAGTCCCCAGGAAATGGGACGTGATCGGCAAGGTCTGGGCGATAATACTGATGTCGGCGGCTTACCAAAGCAAAGGCTACGAACATTGCGAGAGCTTGAGCAGAGGAGGAGAGCTTCTCAGCCATGTTTGGCTTCTCATGGCGCATTTCGGCATAGCTCTGCCAGAACAAACTCCCGGAGCAAAACGCATCACCAAACTGATCATGAACTAGAAGTTCCGGTGGAATGTGTCGTTTGGTTAACCTAATGTTATTTGGGTAATATTAATAAGTTAAGCTCGTCATCTTGAGATGGTGAGGGACTTATTTCGATATTTTGTTGTACTTGGAGTTGTCAGGAAATAATGAAACTGTGTATCAGTCATTTACCAGAGGTATTTCACTGAAGCCAGTCAAATTGGGACGGAAAATTTGAGTCCCTCAAAGTGATTAGTAACTTGAGACCTATCGCAATTAGCCACTCCTCCACGTGGTTAGTAACTTTACATATGGTGATTTGGTTAGTAAATCCTTACCTCAATCAATTTTCAACCGATTTGTAAGTTCTTAATTTTAGAAAAGTAAGTATGTGTCTATTAGCGAGAATGAGACTAGTAATTTGTTTAGAGTGATTCATAAGTTTCAATAGTGGCTGGCTTGTGCATGTGGTTAATAACTTTTTACTGGGCCGATTTTTGCCTATTTATAACTTCTAGTTGCGATTCTTTCTCCCAATATTTAAAGTGAAAAAATTTAAATATAGGAAAATTATCTATAAATTGCAACCTAATTCTTGGAGATGCTAGAATCAAGGGATTGACAACTCTTGTAATAGAACGATCTCTTTATTTATTATTTTTTATTGTTGTATTGTTTTCTTGCAAAATGTAACATTTATAATATCTTTATATCTCAACAATTGTACATTGAGATCAAGAATTAAACACCTTTGTTTTTTTATTCACGTGCTTAAAAGAATGTACAGAGACAGGTAGCTAGAATTCATTATCAAGAAAGTTGAATATCACGCACTTATCCAACACTTCACTTTCTCCTTGTGGCCACAGTAATTTGAAGTCCTTATCCTTAGCAACTTCTCAGCCTGCATAAAGAGAGATGGTTTGGAAAAAGGAGAAGAGAAAAATCAGTTTGCAATTGTCTCCCCTAATGGTGCCGCCGGTGATTGAGGTTCAGGTCGAGAACTTCGTCTTCGATAGCCCATTTGTAATATATGGGCCATAAACTAGTCCATTAGACAGGAACTAAGAGGAAAGAAGAAGCAGTAAGCGGCGGATTAAACAGGAACTAAGAGGCGATCGTGGAGATGAGAGGAAAAGGGGAAAAGAGGGAGCGAAGAAAATTTCCGCACGTTCACAATCCGGACGTCCTGACAAGTTGAATCAATTACGAATCGCAACACCTGGTGAGTAATCAAGCCGATTGTTCGTTTAATTGGAGTAATTTTCGGATTAAGGGCACGAGTTCGAAGTGACGTCGATTTTGAACTACGCGGTTCGATTGAGGAGTTATTAGGCTATGATTTTTGTGGAAATGATAATTTAAGACATTGCGGAGCCGTGGGGTTCGACGAAAATCGATTCCGAAGTACAGGTTGATTGGAACGAAATTCTGAAGTTCGCGTGTGAGTTACGCGTAATGGATGATACGCGTAAGGAAAAAGATGAACGTTTACTTTAAACGAGGTTACTCGTTAGAATGTAGAAGTCGTTTTATCGATGATTAAACATGGTTTAGTCGAGTCATTTGTTAGAGTTGTGTATTACTCGGTTTTGAATACCATTTTTCAATTAATTGATAGGAATGAGAGTGCGTTGATTCGAGTAACCACCGTAAGTTGGTTTTCGGCTTTTTTCAGGTGAGTGGTACTATTTCTTCTATGAATTTACAAACTCATATCTTGAAAATGATAGAGTTTTAATATAGTATGAGTTATTAAGAGCATGTTTCTTGCATAAACTGGATCGAACTTTTACTATCTTTTTAGTTGAATGAAAAGGCATTGGAAAGTCTTATGAAGTAGTTTGAAATGATCATTTGTGAATACTTTGGTTAAATGTTTTGCGAAGGGAATTGCCAAAAGTTGTACGTATTTGTCTGCGAAATGTTTTACAAAATCCATTCTAATTGATAAATAGAATTGTGAAAGGTTATATGATTCGGTTTGTAAAACCGTTTTATGAAATGGCTTTCTGGTGTTGATTGTGGATTGTTGGAGAAAGATGTTGGTTGATATTGCTCACATCGTTATGATGAGAACCCATTGGGGGGGGAGTATGCATAATGTTACGTCCTTTTGGGTTGAACCGCCAGCTGATATAGGGGGTAGACCAAGCCAAGGGGGGTAAACTTGGTCGCCTTCGTCTCAGCATTAAGTGTGACCGTAGTTTGATGATGAGCATTAAATTAGTTGATGGAGTAGATCATCGACGTGTAATTTGATGAGATTAGTCAATGGACTAGACCATTGATGGTTGTTTGTTATTGTTGAATAAGTTTTGTTGACTAATCTTGTACATATAAAGTTTTGTGTGAAAATTATCATACATTTTCGATATTTTACGTATATCGCATATTGAATTTGAACTGATGAGATTGATATCATTTTATAACGATGTATAGTGATTGTTCGATCTGTTTGGAAGAAATATACTACTCACTAGGCCGTGGTAGCTCATTCCTTTCATCTTTCGTGTTTTTTAGGTTCCTCGGTCAGTAGCCGATAGTTCGAGAGCGCTTTTAATGGGAACATTTGGGAGTTGATTTTTGGGTATGGTTTGAGGCTGCGTCCTTCGAGAGGAAGGACGGCCATGTCACTACCCCTATTTCCGTAGGATACGGGGTGTGACACCATTATGCTGATCCTCCATTGACCACCAGATCATGGCTGTCGATGAATTCGGCCTCTTCAGAAGCAAGAAACACCATGGCATCAGCCACATGCTTCGCTTTTAGCACTCCTTTCAGGCTTGAACTAGACTCAAACATCCTCTCACTGGTCTGGGTGAGACACAGTTCACTCATATGCCATATGCTCCAAGTTGCTTGATCGCCGACCTCACCAAACCCAGCACCGTATGCTTAGACTTTATATACTCCATGTGATTCCGGTATCCGTTGCTGGCCAAGATGCTTGCCGTGCAAATTATGCTTCCTTTTATGCCCCCCGCCACCATGGCGTGTGCCCCCGTGCTTGACACAGGCGGCCATTCCCCGAACATTGACAGCAAAAAGGCTTTCAAAAGCAGGTATGTCAAACTCGAGAATGTCATGTTTGATGTTATTCATTATGCCTGCGTTGCTGAACAAGATGTCTAGGCGACCGTTTGACTGAAGAGTCTGTGACATCGCAATGGATGTAGGTGCACCGATGGGATCCTATGGATGTCGTGAGGTCTTGGCTCTTTTCGTCTTGGACATCGGCAATCATGATATACAAGGCCGTAATTCGCCAACCGTCAGGCTGTTCACTCACTGATGCCACTTGTGCCTCCGGTTATGATAGCTACCTTGCCGTCAAGTTTGTTTGTGGCGTGGCTTGTCATTTCTGCAGGCAGAGAATGCAAAACTAAAAACAGAAATGGCCTATGAAGTTGTGCCGAGTGAGGTGCAGAGCCACTTCATATATAGAACTTGAGGACAAGTATGTTTACATTGAATATTCGATGTTGACTTTCTGTTGAATGCGTGTTACATTGCTCTAATTAGGACGGATGAAATTCGCAACTAATGGGTTTTGGTGTGAGGATGGGGCGAATTTCCTCTCCTCACGTGGGCCTAGATGGATGTAAGTATGGTCGGCCCCATCTCGCCGGACACTGCCACCACCTACGATCATATCCTCAAAATGTGGAAATTCATATGCTTAAGTTGATTTCTTTATATGCGTTGTATAATTTTGGTATTTTAAAGTTTTTTATTTTCTCCATAGATACCAATATTAATAATGCATACTTTCAATTGTTTAGTCATTTTTCCTCATTTGTTAACCAATGAAAATTTTCCAAATTAAACCTTTTCGGTGGACTCTTTTATTCTTTCTTCTTCTTTTCTTAGACTAGTATTTCTGTTATTTTGGCTTGTGAGAGTAGGGTACATAAACATACACCACGTGATACATGGAGCGGGGACGGGGTATCTCCAGGTGAATTTAATTAATAATGCATCGAGTCTTTATAATTATATATAGGGTTAATACAGTTTTTTTTTTGGTCAAGATAGGGTTAATACAGTTAAAAAATCCCAAATTGATACACCTGTGACAAATTTACCCAAAACTAATTTTTTGACCTCCAAAAACTCCAAAATGGTACACCTATGATAAATTTACCTTTCATTAGTTTCCGTTAAATTTTACTATCAAATTGCTGAGTTAAATGTCACGTGGTAGTTAACATATGTACTAGTTTCGAAGTTTTACCCTTCGTTTGTTACAGGTGTATTAGTTTGTGATTTTTTTTATTAATCCAATTTAATGGATAGTAAATTTGTCACAAATGTACCAGTTTAGGGTTTTGTTGATCAAAAAATTAGTTTGAGATAAATTTGTAATAGTTATACCAGTTTGAGGCTTTTTGTGGTCAAAAAATGAGTTTGTGGTAAATTTGTCACAGGCATACCAATTTGAGGTTTTTTACGGTATTAACCTTTATATATATGCACACAAAGTATTAGTTCAAAACCATGTGGATATTTTGATGGGTGTGCAAATTTTAGTTTTAATCATTATTTCCTACACATTCGTCTTCTCGCCGACGGCGGAACTTCCTGGCTCCAACAACACCTTGTCTCTCGGCAGGGCAAATCCCATATATTTTTGGTGCTTCAATTATATTTTCTGAGTTTTAATTTTATTGGCAGTATACAAGAGAGTCAATATTCACGAGTGATGTTATCATATGGTAATAGTAAGATTTATGCGCATTTCTCTTCTTCTTTTTTTGTCAAAAAATGATATATATATAAAAACTGGATGTCCATAGTTCCAAGGAGATATTTCGCTAATTCATTAACAAACCTAGCACCATGATATGGGAACTTTCAAAATGGTTATATGTCATCAATTGAAAGGTTGAGAGAACAAGATGACTTTCACCAATGAGGTATTGTCCACTTTAGCCCGTCTCATACCAAGCTTAATGGATTTGTCCTTTCGCATACATGTGGGAACCTCTTTAAGAAATCTCCGTAGTCCTCCCATCTGAGTAAGTCTAACTTTGGAGTTCCAAAGCTAAGTATTGCCATTACGACAAAAGGCACCTCATTGAGTTAATTTTAGTTTTCATATATATCTCAGAATCCCTCTTCCCCTGTTCGGTAAACAGTTCGATTCATTTTTGTCCCCTTCGCCATCCTAAAAAGCCTACT